ACTGATTATAACAGACAAACTGCATTAAAGGCAACATTGGAAAGCAAAAACATTGAAAGAATCAACAAACAGCAAAAAATTAAAAGATAAATGAAAACGGCGGCATAAAAAAGAGCGAGGAAAGCGGCACGTATTCTCCGTGAGGAGTCTCAAATCCACACTCTGCGGCTCAGAAGACTGCCACCCCCCAAACACAATCCCAGAAGCAGCAACACACAAGACACACACACGCACGGTGTTGTTACCGCTCAAATCACGCAGTGTCCATTTCACGTCGTTGGGAGAGGGCGAGGCGGTCGTCGGGACTCACGCCGCTCCAGACACTACGAGGTGACTTTTTGTAATGGGGATTCATGTCCAGTGGCATTGCGTTGTGTCCATTCATTTCTCTTCGGTAATATTCCCAGCAATGTGCTCTCTGACGCTGTCAACCACTCGAACCTTCTCAGATGGTGTCGGAGTCGCTTCCCTCGTCGGAACGGGGACCCTGTCCTTGAGTGCACGCATCGCAGTGAAGTTCAGTGGGCGGTTGTGCAGAAAGACGTCCGTCACCGTCACATGAGATTCGTGCACACCGCACGCGCCAAAGCAAAACCTCAGGACCTCAGGTGGCCTCTCGCCCGTTAACGGCACCTCTTCCTCCCCAGCAACTGACCACCAACGTGCGCAGAGGCCTTGTTGCCTTGCAGCATGAGTGCCACTTGGCATTCTTTCTTCGACACCCAAGTGCTGCTCCGTGTTGTTGTCTTGCCTTTGAACACCGTCTCCCCCTTCTTCTTGTGGCTGCACGACAGTCCCATGGTATGATTGGGCCCAGTGTCCGCCAACACCGCAGTCAGTAGAGGAATGTTCCCACTCGGAGCCTCTTCGATGGTCACCGACGCCACAAGTGTGAAGTAGTGGCTCAAAGATACATGACGCACATTATCACCCCGAGCGTTCACAGGCCATATTGCCCTGGACTCAAGTCCCGTCACTTGTAACCCATCGTTGTCCTTCACTGTATTTGTCACCGTTGCATTCAAGCAAAGGTACTCGTCGTTCCACGTGACATCACTGGCCGCATCGGACAAAACTGCCACCAGCCACGCCGTGGGTATAGACAAGCTGGAGAAGAAAACGTCCTTTTGCACCCCAGCACTGAGGACGGACTCGATTGTACTCAGTTCCTCCGTCAGACGGGAAAGTGAAATGACACGGCCCTCACCGTTGTCCCTCCGTTGTAAAAGATGCAAACCGCCATCCGAGTGCAGCAGGGTGCTGGTGAGCAACTAATCCGCAGCATTGTCCATGCCAACCGGTCCAACAGAAAGCGTGCGGTTGTTGTCCGTCACCCAAAGGCAGAGCGCAGTGGACCTTTTCTTCCTCGAGGCGTGCCCTCTCTGAGTGTACAGCATGACCTCCCGTTCCTCAATGGTCGCGGTGATGAGGGCATCCACACGCAGGTTTTCCTTCTGAGAGACTCCTGATCGTGCGTTGACCCACACAGCTGAGAGTTTCCCGATTGCCTCCGTCCACGCTGTCCCCATGTCACGCGACTCCTACACCCTCTGGTCATCCTCGAAGTCAGCACTCATGAGAAGTGATTCCTCCCACTCGGTGACGCGGGGTTGTGGCATTTCGCAGGGGAAATGTCTTCACAGAGCGTCCAGATACTGCCTTTGTCCGTCGAGTAAACGATCATGGAGTAAACGTCTTCTGCCTCATTCTTCGCCATCAGAGGAAACACAAGCGTGCCGTCCTCCATCAGAACACTTGAGCCACCAGAAGCAATGAACTCCGTCCAGTCACCTTCGTGAGAAGCAGAAGAGATCAGTTTCGAGAGTGGTTTGGGGTCGCCCCATTCGATCCGTCCACTCTGCTTGCCACCCGTGGGATTCGTGAGATCACCCACAACCAGTTTCAGCTCCAAGCCGCCCTCACTCCAACACCCACCTTCGTAGGACACATCAAAGCCTCCCGCAAGAGGAAACACTCTGTTGCCCTTCGTGATTGTTGTGGGGGGGAGCACAACACCCAAACTCTCCTTTCCCTCCGCTGCACCAAGCACAGTGTGTGCCCTCCATGTATCTTTTATTGACCTCGCCAACGATAGTGGACCAATTCCATGCAGAGTCGATGTACCCCGCAACAAAATCAAAAGAAAAAGACATAATTAATTGACCAAGTTGATATTCGGCATCCATGCAACCTTCGGCAAAAGCAGCAATTACTCCACCAGCACTGACGAGAGAGGGTGAAGCAAATGAATCCCTCCTCGTAACTGTAGCAACCCCATCCTTCGGCTGCACCAGCGTCGTCTGCGCCACAAATAGATCGACTCCCTGCGGCAACTCAGCATTTATTAAACCACTCATCGCATCATCAATGGTATTCCCCTTCGGCTCGGTGACAGGCGTGGGCCTTCTTTCGGATGGTGTCGGAGCCACATTGATATTTTAAACGTAAGCAAACTCAGGTTTCGTCTCGGACGTGTTGGTCGCCGTGTTGGATGCGGGACTCGGATCGACGGTGTTGGGTCCGTCAGCCGCCGCAGACCGTCGCCGATCCTCGTGTTGACGTGACGGCTCAGCATTGACTTGCGGCGCAGTTGTCCCACCAGATTTTGTGTCATCCTTCCCTTCACGGGGTGGCGGCAACTGACAGATGCCCGTCTGGTCAGCATCGCCGCTCCGTGCAGGCGGATGGATGGTTCCATCGGGAGAAAATTGACGCCACCACAATTCATAATGGCCGGCGTATTTATGTGCCGTCACATTCATCGTGAAGGCAACGGTGGCCCCTTCCTCTTTCGTTGCACAGCTGGCGGCACAGTTGCTACATGTGTGCACCGCATTGGCCACATGGCACACAGCACCCAGCTCACCATTCCTGCCGTGCATGCGCAAATCAAAGCCACTGAAAGTGTAATTCTCATGCTGAGCCTCAGCAATGGCTGCAGAACACTTCTTCCGCGCACGCGATAGCTCAAAATGCCGTCACTCGGAGCACACGACACATCCACCGGCACAACCACCGCATCCGCAGCACCAGATACATCTCCAGGACTCCCAGCAGCCGTAACGCACACGGAATTGCAGCAGCAGCACAAGAGCACAAGGACCAACACGGCACCGCACCGTCACCATCGCAGTCATCGTCATCCACAGTGGAGTCGCTGGAGTCAGTCAGCTGATCGGTGGGACAGAAAAAAAAGAATGCAACAGGGAGGGAGAGGGACGGGGCACAGCGGATACAGCGAGAGAGAGCAGGCAACATGAGGAGAGGGCAGCAGGCCCAGCCGCACAGTTCACACACCACGAGACGGCATCCACGCAAGGAACGCGCACACCGCCACCGCCTCCAGTTCAGTCCCACGGCCAACGGGATACGGCCACAGCCCGCTGCCGGCACACAACGCACACGGAGCAAGCAATCACCCAAAGAGCCACACGCGGAAGAGATTCCTCAACCATCCATGACACGGCGCCTCACTCCACGCGGTCACACGGAGTGCACTGTTTACTCAATAGAACTTATTCTTCGTCCATCCCTTAAAGATGCTTCTGTTAGTGATGGGCCTTCGAACACAATAGAAGAAAATGGACAATGCGGTAACGCCGTGACACCGCTGGTGACAATTATTTTCTCATACCGGGGCAATTCTCCAATTACGCCTCGTATGCACACACAATCAACTAACATACTATATAGAAGTCACCCAATATTTTTCACCAGAAGCCAAGCAACCCCTTTCCCTCCCTAATTTCTTTTGTCACTGTTGAGTTCGATAGCGTTGGACATTTTGGCATTTGTGTGCGGTGCTGCCGCATGGTGCTGGTGCACCCGCACCGTACGCACACACACACACACGTATCCAAAAATACATAAATCCCACAATATTTTTTACCACAAATCAAAATGACCCGTTCACTTGCAATTTCCTAATCTATTTTCCCATTTCTGTGGTTATTCCTCACTTCGGAGTGCTTCGCCTTTTCTGAAGTCTCTGTACGATATTGCTGCTATGTACTGGCGCACCTCTTCCTCCAGAACACCGAATCTCACGGCTCTCTTCGCTCACATTATCGGAATCGTCGACATCACATCTCTGCCAGTCATCGGCATGCTGTCTGCGTGCTGCACACAAATAATCCCCCACGACATGTCTCGGGATAACTCCTCCCAACCATTAAAATATGCCGCCAGGCACTCAGTGAACTGCCGCACAGTGCTGGTTGTCGTGTAGTGCCCACCCGCCGTAGCCATCCGCAGCCCAAACAGCGTCACTGGTATCTTCACAAAGAAAAAAAAGGCGTCCACCAGCGGAAAGTTTGTGGCCCACGGTTTGTACAGCACCCCGTACTTTATTTTACGGAACGATTTTTCATCTTCACTCGGCAGCAAACCTTCATCTCCCTTGGGATGCAATTCAGGGCAACTTCAAGACGCAGGGCGTTGCTTGACGTCCTGTTGGCGGCTCAAACTCCGTGAGTTTCGTCGCCATTGCCTTGACAAAGGCACCCTCCGCGAACGATTTCAAAACAAACCATCCAAAAAATATTGGCAAAATATTATCCTTCGACGCCAACATCAGCCTCAAAAACTATTTTATTCTGCTACACTTGGGAGGCGTTCCAATGTCCGTTCCTCTAGGCAAGCAGACAGCGGTGCATTGAAAAGGATCACACCGCCTGCGTATATTTCCCGAACAACTTTCACAGGCTTGTGGGACGGACCCTCAGAACACCATGGCGACTCACCTCCCCGTGAAAAGTACTCCTTCACAGTTACCTCGTTGATCGATTGCAATGCAAACCTCACCGCTCCACAGCGTCCATTAAACACCTCCTCATCAAAGACGTGAAGTGGAATCGATCACAAAAGATAAATGTGTTTTTTTACCCCTTTCCAGCATTCC